GAATAAACATATTCCAGACTAAACATAAATATAAATTTCTTTCATCGTTCCCTGCGTATCTCTAGAATTTATTTAATATAACGGAACATTCTCCTTTTATCACGCTTTTGCGCCTTTCGAGTCCCAAATGGCGTATTTCTCACATAAACTCGTATTTGGAGAGCTTCAACCCTCTTAAAGGCTTCATATTTTAATGCCCGTTTTACTGGCTTTACCAGGAATATATAGCGCGACAGGGGGTCCTGAATAACAGCTTCAAAATATCGCTTCGAGTCTCAATTTAGTGTTAGTGTCTCCAGAACGGTAACGTATGCTCAATGGGTATTGCTAAAACTACGTTCATGTGTGAACAAATGGGAAACGAAGAAGCACTTGGCACATACTGTATGAAATAGTGGCCACACTGTGTTGTTTTCAATATACCTAGATGTCTTGGTATACATTTGCGGAATTTATTCACAATGATGCTACTGAACATGATTTTTGAAGTCGTTCGAGTTTTTACATCCCACATCTTTTGCCGAGGAAGTTTGCAATCGCGAAAAATTTCGAAAGTGGGAGTGTTTTTTATGTTTCATGAGATGTACTACTCGGATTTGGGTTAAATTTTCACTTAAGCTTACTGCTATGTGAATGACGGAAAAATCCTTGTAGATGATGTATGAAATACAAAAAAAAAAACGCTCAGTCTTCATTTTTTGACCTTGCGGAGACTCTTGATCATTTTCGGTAACATTTTTGTCGGTAGTGTATCCATATGCTTCCAAACTCCCTAATTCTACGTACCTATTAGTTTCCCGATCGCAGCGATATCAAATGGATGGGACTATGGACTAATTTTATAGGCCTGTTCGACTTATTTGATCCATTTAACTCTTTTTTTGTGTTATACATATTTCTAGTGGTGTGAGTTGTTATTCATATCACTCATTCGATTTGCCCGTCTCTCTGTTTGTTGGCCTGTTTATTAATCTTTCATCGTAACCTCAAAAATCTCTGCACCGATCTTAACTAATTAATTAAAATACTGCTGTATTTTTGAAAATTGGCGTGGGCGGTGGAGGAATTTTAAAAATTTACAAACCTTGTTTATAATCGCTTTTCGGTTTTCTTGACAGCTATACTATTCGTCATTATTTGTCAGAGCGGTCCGGTGGACCTTTGCTCTTCGTTAAAAGTCTCGTCGCTCTGTTATTCTGTCAGGTCTGGCTACCCAGATACCAAACATGTTTAAGGGTGAAAGGGAAAGAAGGAAAGAAAGAAAGGAACAAATGGAGCAAAGAAAAGAATTAAATCATTTGAAATAGCTTAAGCATTATTGCTTTGACACCTCAAATTATTTTGTAACTCCAAAAAATAATTTTTATTGGTTTTGTATACTGAGATAATTGGCTAGTCTGAAGTTACAATTTAATTTCGATCACAGTGCGAGGCGCGGCCTGGAATGTTTGCGAACTTGCTCGACTGTGTAGTCTACTGAATCACGCAACAGAGGGTTGCTGTGCGGTTCCGCTTGATTATAACGCCACTGCGCCTGTTTTTTTACCTAATCCCTTAAATATGGGATAGCAAGATCTCTGTGAATGGTCTCATTTGACACATACCAAGAGCCGTTAGTAATTGTGCGTAGGGTTCTGTTTTGCAGAACTTGCAGTCTCTGCATGTGCCTCTTGGCAAAAAAACACCAAGCCGCGCATGCTTAGATGATTGCGGCTCTTATGACCATTTTATGTTATAACCGAATCTTGTTGATCAAACTTAATTTTGAACTTCTGCACAACAAAGGATAAAGCTGCCGAAAGGTAATTTGGAAGTTTGTTTTCAAAATATCAGTATGTTTCTACCAAATCAACCCCTTGTCAATGATGACTCCAAAATACCTGACAGATTGCTCTCATTGTATACGAGTTCCATTCACTGATATCTCTGATGGGGCACCGCGACGTTTTTTAGTACAATAGATTGCCTGCGTTTTCGAAGTATTAATTTTGATCAACCACCGATCCGCCCACTTCAATACTTCCTCCACCGCACTCTGCAGGCTGTCGTGAACCAGGTTACCAGAACAAGACTGGGCTAGCAATGCAGTGTCGTCAGCATAGAGATACACTTCACAGTTGCTGGGGCAAGGGACGTCATGTAAATAAAGTGAATAGAGGATTGGTCCTAAGACCGAACCCTGAGGACAATACATTGTTAATTTTGATCCGAAACTTCCTTCCTTGTAGAAAAGATTTCAAGTTCTATTAGCCAAAATGGAAAACCCTTTTGGATGAGCTTATACAAGAGGTCCATGTACCACACCTTGTCAAATGCCTGACACATCTAAAAGCAAGATACCAGTGCTTTTGTTCAGGGTGAACCCCTGGTTACATGCTCCACCAGTCTAACTGCCTGTAGCTTCGTACTATGCTCAGAAAGCCGAATTGCACGTCAGGAATCACATGGTGATCTGACGAGAAGTTCTCAAGGTGATGATAAATCACCTTTTCAGCGAGCTTAGAAGGAGCTGACAGCAGACTAATGGGACGGTAATCCTGGGGGAGTATCGAACCTGCCTTCTTTGGGATCATGATGACTTCAGCGACCTTCCACGCCTTAGAAAAGCAATGAGTTCTGAGCATTGCATTGATTGTTGCCACCAGATAAGTCAAAGCCTTGAGCGAAAGCAACTGCAGTGCTTTGTTGGTGATTTGATCTTTTCCAAGGTGCTTTACGCACCTTTAGGTCCTTATTGTGGTCTTGGAGCCCTGCTGGTGTGCAAAACGGAATCTCAGAGGATTCCGTTGATGTGCTATGCTGAGATTCATGTGAAGGATCTTCCGTAGAAGAATCTTCTGAAAAGAAGGCATCGATGTTAGCAAAGATGTTGGTATCGCCATTCGCCCTGAAGTATCTCCTGACAGATCTTACAATTTGTCGTTCCTCGTCAAGGTCATTGTCCAGATCATAATTGGGAGAGAACTGCCTTTCCATGACGTCAGCAAAAATCTCCACTTTATCCTCAGTCCTGAAGATTATGCCTCCAGGACCATGAATATGTGGTGGTTGTTCTTGCCTTCCAAAAACTGGCTATTTTTCTTGAAAGTTCAAAAAACACTGAAGGAAAGCAGTAGTTGCTTCTTCTGCACACCTCAACATGGTGGAAAAAATAATAAGTGTCTTCTGATCAAAAAATTCACATACAGTAATCGACAAACGTATATAGACAAATTAATATTGTCCTGTATTTCTTTATTAATCTGTTTTATTAATACACCAACCTGCATACATAATTCCTTATAGCATAATACTCACTTATACATGAATAAATTCATTACACTCCTTCAATAAAAAATTAATTAAAAAAAACTGGAACTATGAAGGACAAAAATATATAGACAAAGCAAAACGATTATAGAAAAAAGAATCAAGGTTCATTGAATTATAGAAAACCAACTATGTTTGTGTTAATATTTTGTAGCATAACATTATGTATTATCAATCACCGCCTGGCATCATCTCGGCGTAGATTGTAGAACTTTTTTGATATAAGATTCATCAATCTGTCTCCACTTTTGCTCTAAAGCGGCAAAAAGTTCATCCTTGTGTGAATAATTTTTATCTCGTATTTGCCTATCTAAGTATTCTCATAGATTTTCAATGGGGTTTATATCGGGAGACTGTGAAGGCCATTTGAGAACTGGTATTTTTTCATCCAGAAAGAATTTCTTTGCGAGTGTACTTCGGGTCATTATCTTGCTGGAAGATTGATCTTAAGGGAATATTGTCTTCCATATAGGGTAACATGATATGCTTTAGTATGTCTCTATATACAAACTTGTCCATAATGCCATTTATTCTATGTAAAGGTCCCATCCCAAACCCCGAAGCAACCCCAAACCATAACAGACCCGCCTCCATGTTTGACAGTGGGCAAAGTGTACTTGGGATTCAATCTTTGTCCACTAGGACGTCTAACGTAATGAACACCATCTGACCCAAACATATTGTACTTGGGTTCGTCACTTCCAGTCACAGATGCTCCAATCAAGATGCAACCGTGCAAATTGTAATCGGTCCTTATGATTTTTCCTCGAGATTAGAGACTTTTTATTCGGGCGACGTGCAAATAACTTCAAAACATTTAATCTTCTACATATAGTTTTCGTAGAAACACTGACAATTCCTTTTGTCTCGATTTCGGCTATTATTTACCTTGGGGTTTGGACGAAATTACTTTTATTAACCTAAGTGATCTAGCATTTGCTTTTCTAGGCCGACCACTTCTCTTAGAGGCTTCCAAGATACCTTTTTGTTCAATATTGCCCAAACAGCTTTACGCTTTAGCTTCAAATTTTTGCCAATGGTGACTTGACGTTGATCATCTTTGTATAACTCAATGATTTTAGTTTTCACATCGTGGTACACGGCGTGGTCATAAAATCACTCAACTTATTCCACAATACTCGAAGAACACAAACTTATCCTCTTCTGACACGAAACTGTACTAAACTAATGTTGAAAAGAAATTGTCTACATATTTTTGTCTTTCATAAAAAAGTGCTTATATTCAGACTTGTATTGTAATCACTGCAGGTAATGTAAAAACAAGGAATTTTGTTTTCCTACTAATAACGCATTTGTTTATGGAGAAATGAAGTATGCATTCTTTTTCTTAAGGTATTTAGGTAAATATTCATATTTGTCTATATACTTTTGTCCGCTACTGTAAGTGCTCTGCATATTATTGGACATTTTCTAGTAAGAATGCACGAAGTAAAATAAATAATGCTGGTGCATCATTTTCCGGAAGTTTGCATCTATATGCATTTTGTCTCTATCCAATGAGATTTATACGTACTCCAGTGATGACATCTGACACGAGTTTTCAATTAAATTAGGAATTCATGTCTGAAATCATGCCGAATGAACAGCAACACCGCAGCAGTAGGGTCTCTGAAAACGAGGCCCGCGGGAGTTATTTAACTTGGCGGCTGTACTCCAGGAAACTCCTTTACCCATACTGTATCGCACAGCAGAGCCAGAGCATAATCACCATCCCTGCAATTTACATTTGATCCCGCAGTAATTATGAAGGGCAGTCGTATTCCAGATATCTGCATTATCGTTTGCAGTTTGAGCGAGCTATCGTGAATTGCTTCCAGACGGTTTGTTGACAGTGATGGAAATGGGCTTGATTAAACCTAGCTCATAACTCTACGTCATAATATCGCTTCGGTGACTTGGAGTGGAGAAGTAAGGAAGATGAGGAAATAACAGTTGATCGTTCTCCACTATTGAGGTGACCTATTTTCGGACAGCTTCACTACAACATTGCACTTTCGTCATTCGAACATTCTGAAGTTTCGTTTCCACCTGAATAATATTAAGACTGGTTGTATTTTATTGTAAAGCATTAGCTGAGTCGTCCGGTACGATTTATATAGGGATGTGTCTAAACGCAAGAAAACTAAAGCCTTTCCTGAAAGGCTAGACCATATACTAAAGAAAAGGTTTAGTGGTGGAATATACCCTGTAGCTAAACTTCGCCTGAAACAAAATTCTTTTATAATTAATTTTATACTCAACACTCTTCGAGGAAAAGCATTTGTGTCAACCAGCTGTCGATGTAAGTGACAACCCGGGTAATAATTTTAGCGAATGACTAATGATGGTAAAAGGCACCGTTACGATTTGCAACTTCTGGTCGCTTTAGCTGAATTACATCTCTATTTGGCGAGTTGTTGAACATACTGTGATAATATCAAAACAACCTTATTCGTTTATAGTTAACTTTATTCTGTTCTACCTTTCTTGCTAAGTATTGCAAGGTAGACATTCCTCTGCTTACCGCAGTATTTCCATTAATACTTGCAATACCCAACATTTACTAAAGGTTTCTAATAACAATATTTATATAGTGTGCATCAATACAGCACATCAGTAATTAGTCTTTTCTGAACTGGTTCGATTTTGTTGTGTTTTTTTCCTTGCATGTTTGCATGAGCTTTTCTGCATATCACAAGTTATGTTATGAAGATATGAATCGATAATTGCCTTGATATGAATCTCACCGAGTTTTGACACTGCGTTTCTTCCAAGGCTTTATTCCCACATGTGGCACATAAGTTCTTGTGTGATTATCATACGTCCTTGTCTCTTTGGAAATAATACAATAATATAGGTCTACGCTGCACGATCTATCTTCCATCTTTAGAATGGAATAGAATTAGAACTAGAGGACGTAATTTGGTTTACTAAATGAAAGGCATGAGTTCAAGCAATAAGAAAAAATATTCCCCCAAAGAAAAAAAGTACGCCACTTTCTCCGTCAGGACTACTTCCTCGCTCTCAAGAACATTTCCTAAACCACTGAGAAGATGTCCAAGGTTTTCAATTCGACTGTCCAAAAATTCAAAACAATGTCTCCCAGATCTGCCAGCATTACAGTCTGCAGTTCCTAATTCTGCTGATTTTTCAGCAAATCTTATGCTTTTATCAGGCGGAGATATTATGTGAACCCAAGGCGATCCTAGGGAATTTGAAAATGTTCAAGGATTCTAAAGAGGTCAGAGAATTTCCTAATTAATCTGAGTCATTGGAACTTAATGTGTACAAAGTAATCATTTCGTAAACGGATCTGTAACAATGATAGTACATACTATAATCTCTTTTAGTTTCTGATATTCCAATACTGCCAAGTGCCTATTTCAGATACTCTACACAGCTGCAAAAGTGGAGAAGTGGAGTATCTACTCACTCAAACCCTCAACTTTCGCATACTCGCACGCAAAAGCATTATACCATATACTCATGCACGCTGTCTTATACTGAAAGCTAACATTGCTTACGATATTATAGGTAATTATACTTCCTACGTATTACTGGATTCTGTTTTGAAGAAGAAGTCACAATTGAATAGAAAAACTTGAAATAATATAAATACTTAAACTTTATTTTTTTATATTTCTTACCGGTCTGGGAGATCATCGCCCAGATCAAAATTGCTGAATCTGTAGCCTTCCATATCGAACACGACAGTATGTCTTGTTGAATTAGGGCAAGCTGCGCTACAGGACAAGCTTCGTCCAACAGAAAATAACATGTCAGAAAGAGGAAACACATGATTAATTTGGAGGGACGGGACTGAGTGGGCATCAATCCGTAGCAATTACTCGCCTGAGCTAATTACCCTTTGATGGGCTGCTGAAGTGTATAACTGGATTTTTCTCTTCGATCCTTTTTTTGCCTCTCATTTTGAATAAGGACAACCCAATGATGAAAAAAGGTAGACCACGGCGAAATCGACAACATTCTTGGACTTCAAAAATAAGTCTTATATTTTGACAGAAACTGTGATGTCTACGTGTTGACCAAATTTATAATGAGACGACATCGGATATTAGCTCTTGAAGGAACACCCTGTCAGCTTACTTCTAGGGAACGGCTTGTCCATTTAAACATAGTTGTAACCGCTTGATAACAAAGTTTTACTAGCCAGGATTGTTTTCCGCTGAACCGCGTGAAGTATAGATAGTATGGTATAAGTTTCCTTATCTGTGGTTCTGTCTGACATAAGAATAATAAGTATAGAAACATGACCTTTAAGCTTCGACTTATAGCTTCGTCCAGCCTAACTAAGCTCAGCGACAATCGGCGACCTATAACAATGACGGGTTGACTCACAGCTATCGTTATAAATATCACACGCTTCACAAGGCTGAACATGACATGCATTGGCGGTTTCACTATTACGTTCTTGCGGTTAGCCTGAAAATAGATTACCTACTGTTGACGACTCACTAGCCTTTGGACTATATTATTCAGGTAAATCCAGATAGTGACTTTCAAAAACGACAAGGCAAAGATATTTCGTCTTATTGATAGTGAATTTTAATTGGAAAATTGCAGCAGAATACCAGGACAAAATTTTCTTTCTGGATAAAAAACATTTAGACTAAAAATATACCATAACAAGTGAATTTTGGTGTACTGGAGAAGAGTTCAAAGTTAACAATAACGTTTCTCAGGTATTAACAGAGCATCACTTATTCCAGTTTCTGAGGTAACATAGTTGCGGCCAATTATGCGCTCACTAAAGATTAGCTTGCAATCAGGTGACTGCGTCGTCCTTAAAAGATAAGCATGTCTGTATAACCTGGCCATTGATGTTACAGTTACTATGTGTTAAGGAGTAAGCCTTTGTTATATAAGACACAACTATACATTTTGAATTATTTAAACTAAGGCAGTTTCGCGAGCACCATGATGAAATTGAACATAAATTACCTTGCAGCATAATACAGTCATCGCCTGACCTAACTGACTGTAGATTTCAAGGTCATCAACAAAAAACACAAACAAACTTGAACTCAAAAGACAAATCATTCATAAAGATTAAGAACAATATTGGACATAGATTTGAATCTTGATGTACCCCGGATGTGGCCAGGTAAGTAGTTTGAGCGCTATATTTCACAAATACCCTCATGTTATTCAAACATGAATTCATGAATTCATCAAATAGATCTATTATTTCAAGCCTTTCTAGAAGTACATATACTCGTACATTGATCAACTACTTAAATTTCATTATTCAAAAAGAAAACTTGCTATAAGCGTATTGTCCTAAACCTCTTAACTTTTGAGATACTCTGTAAAGCTCCCAAAAACATCATTTATCATAAAGACTGACACAAAACGCCTAACTTTATAAAGGAGGGTTCAATGATTGGCCTTGAAGAAGATATGTTCGATAGAAAACCAAGTAACGGAGAAAAACCACAAATTTGTTTCCCAACACAATACTGAATCACTGAGAACGAATGATATAGCATGTATGAAATTTTATCAATGCATTCCATCATTATCAATATTAAATTAGTTGAATTTTATATACCTTGTTATACAAAAGTTACTATAAAATCTGAAAATTAAATATCTTATTTTTTGATCATTCTGTATTGTACGGCTATAGATGAAAATACGTCCCCCTAGAAATCAAAATTGACGTGTCCGAGCGTTCTTCCCAAAATATATCAGGAGAGTCACAAATAGGGGCCACCCTGTATAAACAAGTTACAGCGGGTCAAGTTATGAGTGGACACGGTACGTGCTATTTAATTTTTTAACGCACTGCAGCAAAAAATATGCCGTTGCGAATGTCAACATGCATGTATTCAGTGATCAAATGACTGGAAGGATCAAACCTTGAAATATCATATCTCAATAAGGAATGAATACCCCTAAAGAGGATGCTAGACATCATTTAGTACATATACACTAGTCATACTCCATAATACGTGGAACCACATATTCAAGAGGGAAGTGTTTATTTAATTTATAACATGTATAATTTAATTTAGTACGAAGCTGTATTTTTATCATTAGAAACATTTATAGTTTAACTGTGTTTAAGCTCATATATTAGAATCTAGAAAGACGACTTGTAAGGATTGAGCTAATAATACGATACAAGCAGTTATCAAAAGGGTTCTTGCTTCAATTATTCACAAATAGAGTTTAGTTCCTTCAATTATTTACCAGTAATACGTGACAGGAATTTGGGTGAATTTGTAAGAATTTGGGGAATCATGGTGCATTAGGGGGAGCTATGTTGCGTTAGAGGAATTACTCCTGGAAATACGGAGAAATATTTCCCGTTATTGTACTCATTTCTGGGTGCGGTCTACCCCTCGCGCGAGAGTTACACTCTCGTCCCTGTATCCGCCACCCGACCGACCAAAAAAACGTCTCTATTGTAGAGACGAGTACGTGCTTGCCGCAGCGTTCGCCCTCTTATATTGTCTCCTCTATGATGGGTGTTATTAGAAATTCCAACCCTTCTAAAGATCAGATTTATTGCGATAGTTTGTGCGAGCCTGGAAATCCATCCAGCCGATTTGTTTCGTTTGATCCCCAAGGCTCGCAAATATTTTCGCCTTATATATCGCGCCGCAGCTCGTATTTCAAGTCTATACGAGATAACAGTGCTGCCATGTCGCCTGAACTGGAGTTGCCATATTTTCGCTTCTAGCTGCCCCAAAATATTCACACATATTATATACATGTTGTTCCTTAATGATATGCGAATATTGAAGAGTGTGAATCTACATGAAAAATT